TACAGTCAGAGTGGGTTTGTCCAATGAAAACTCCCTCCATATTTTTTTAATGTGTCTTCCTTATAGAAATTAGAAGGGATGAGTGGCTAAAATTGGGGAATTCGAGGTGGTACTTTATCTGTAAGCAATGTTAGGTCCAGATGCAATTTTAATCATTTCAGGCTACTTCTAACAACTTTCTGCAGCATTTTAGCATTCCAGTGGATCTTGCTCCATAGCTTCATATACCCTTGGTCTTGCCTGGAGAGTCCATACACATATATTAAGCGCCATCAAATCCTCTCAATAATTAAGAGCCAGGAATATTGAGAAAAAGAAACAACACCTAAACTGTGGTCATTTGGATAATAGTTGATTAAGTGACTAGATTAAAGGCTGGTAATCATTTCATTACAAACACAAAAAGATTGAGAAAAGGTAAATGTAATAAATCTGGATTTAATTCCTGGAATTTTACAGTGATAAATTTTATCTCAATGTTGTTAGAATGTTTGAAGGTTTTGCTTTAGTTTCATTGTGCTTAATGCAGGTCTGTGCTCATGCAAGTTAACTCCTTATTTATGGTTTACTTATGTATGAAGCCCTCAATCTTGTTTCTGTTGCCCGAACATGGCTGAGAGAGACAGCTGAGACATTATGAAACCAGCTGGCCACAGATGGATCTTCAGTGGAGCATGAATCAATATTGGTTCGGTGATCTATGTTTACTGCCTTCTCTTAAACTTTCAGAGACTCAACTCCTAAATCATCTGGCACTGATTGCACCCACTTACATATAAATAACAGAGTGAAGTGAACTGGAGCTTTTTTTTTTTTTAAATAGTGATCAAGACTTTCACCTGTAGGACTAATGCATATTATAGTTTCACTGTTTAGCCCATGTTCGAGTCTGTTTAGTTTATAGTCATTTAGCACATGGGTTTTACCAGTTATAATAGCCTTGGTAGCTCATGTTTTCAGTCTAATTATGAACCTTTGCAAGACCCTGTAATTTGAAATTTCTATATATTTGTTATGGGTTTGACAGCTGAGCATGAAATAAAAAAAAAAGTAAACAAAACCAGAAAACCCCAAAACTGAAGCTGTAGCCTGAAAAGAAATTCACTTAGAATCTTTAAAGAAAATTTCAGTGATCAATATTTTCCTGGAAGGCTGATAGAACTGCACAATTTTTTAGATCTATGCCTATAGATCTAAATATGCATAGATATTTAGCTGGAAATAACCAGCTAAATTACAAAACAAAATAAAAGAGGTATAAATAGTTGAAATAATTAGCTAAAACTCCAAACAAAACTCAAACTTTAATGGTGCTTCCTAGCAAGTGAAATTTAATTCTGAACCACTCCCTAAAATTATTAGATATAAAGCCTCACAGCTTAATGAATCCAATGTGATCTTGAAAATGGTTCAAATTGCTGATGTAAATGTATGCACACCTTGTCCTTTACAACCTAAGCAGGAAATACTGTTAACTATTAATGCATATGCAAATCAGTGAACTAATAATTGAATTTTTTTGACAGGTCTGCATATTTGTAATTCTTGATATTTGTCCAAAACAGTAAAAATAAGAATAACTACTTTTATCATCAGTCTTCACTTTTAAATATATGAAGTTATTTCATAACTTGTCTGTGCTCTATCATCTGCATTGCTATCGTAGCATCCAGTGCTCACCACCTGCCCGCAGCCACAGAGGAAGGGCCTGTCTTTATTTTGTGCTGATACATCATTGCAGTGTATGCAGAACAGCTATTCTGCAGTCACGATACAAATGTAGGTGGAGAAATAAAGTGAACACACAAAACAGTTTAAAAACATGTTTAATGTCTCCCTCTGTAGAAGAGTCCATGATTCAATCTCATTTTATTCTGCTTCTAGGATGTATTATACATAGGTCTCCCCATGTCATATAAAAATAAATATGAATAATTTGGGTCATTTCGTTAATTCATACATTAAGCAAATATTGATCACTTACTCTATGCAGGCATAGCTCTAGGTGCTAGGAAATCAACAATGAAAAGAATAGCCAAAATAACTCCCTGTCCTCCTGGGGGCTTGTTGTCTAGTTTTAAATACTGTTTTCTCTGTTGGTTTTCAGTGGTATGGCCCTGTTTCTTGACATTCTAGTGATTTTTGAATAAATGTTGGATGATTATATACATAGATATAAATGTATAGAGGATCTAAATGATTTTTTTTATCTTTCAGAAAAGCTTCACTCTTTCCTCTGTTAAGTTGAAAGAGTAGAGCATGATCACATTGATCTAGTCATTGAATGGACTGGGTAAGGACTGCTTGACAGTTTCATCAAAAACCCCATCTATCTTTAGTTTTCTGTAGCCCTACCTGACTGTGTGTTCTCTTGGGCCATTCCATGTGACAGGTTCTGAACTAGAGTAATCTCTTCAGCGGGGGACTTTGCCAGACCCCTGCTATGCAATTCAGAGACTTTCTGCTTAGTCTCTTAGCTTACCCCTGACAAGTTTATAATTTAGCAAATTCTTGATGGAATACCAGGTGTGTATCATACTCTCTTCTGGGCCCTTGATTTCTCATGAGGACCTTGGCTCCCTAAGTTCTAATGTCTCTCTGATCCACTGAGACTGCCCTCTGCCCTGGTAAAGTCCAGAATCAGCAAGTGGCCCCTCAGAAAATATGGCTAACTTTTCACAATTTTTGAAAATTTTGTATCTTGGTTTTTCTAGTCCTCATTGCTTCATCAGCTCTCACATGCCTTTAAGCAGATCTCGGCGGGGGAGGGGGTAATTTTAATATTTTATTTAGATTATTCCGTTGTTTTAGGCTGAATCATTGATTTTTGCAAGCTTATCCATTTCATTCCTATGTTTAGATACTGAAATAAAAATTTGAAGATTATGTGAAATAAATTATTTAAATGCTGTGCATACATTTACATTGGCAATTTGAAGCAGTTTGATGTGTGTTACTTCTATTATACACATTTATACAATCACAATGAATGTACCCTGAAATTTCCACCTTGGCCCGATGTATTCTAGAACTAATTGGCAAAATGGGCAGGTAGAGAAGAGGCATTGAGCACATTCTTCCAAATAAGTGTCACTGGAAGAGCTGGGCAATTAAGAGCTCATGCTCTGTAGTACACTGAGGTCACTGCCCCCGCACTGCCCAGCAGCAGTGGTACTGAAGGAGTGACACCAAGCTCTCCCGGTGAACCTGGAGGCTTTCCCACAGAGGCTGCTCAGATTAGTGAACTTGCTGGGAGTCCAAGGCTTGATGGTAGTAGCTCTGGGGAGATGCAGCTCCTGGATACTACTCTTGACTTCTGATTATGGATTATCCTCAAAGGAGAGAAGTTGGGCCTACTGAAATAGTGGCAAATAGAGTAGATAGCCTTTGTGGGATTTTTTTTCTCTCTCCACTAACACTTATAGGAAGAAGGTGTGGCATAGTGGATAATTGCCTAGATTTAGGAAGTCAATCAAATTTAGAGTCAAATCTTGTCTATTTACTAGATGCTTGGACTTGAAACAGCTGCAAGAACTCTCTAAAGGCCTTAATTTCATATCTGTGAAACAGGGATAACAATGCATTTCATTGTGCTGACATGAACGTTGATGGAGACACAGTATTTAAAGTGCTAACAATGGTCTCTGGCACATTGTAAGCTTGTGCTTTGTAGTAGCTACCAATTTGGGGGCTGTTATGGAAAGCCATGGACTTAGAGACCCAGAATTTTGGGATGAGGCCTTAAGGGATTTTTATAGCCCCTCCAAGGTAGGTAAATGAAGCATGTGGAAAGATTGCTTTTTAAAGTTTATGTTTGCTTTTGTTGTTAAATAAAACTATTTATCTGTTTATTTTAGGGATTACAAACTATCTGAAATAACACCAGAAAATAAATAACTGAACTGGAGATGGTTTACCTCTCAATGACTTCAAAAATCTGCTGCTTCTTATTTTAATAGATAAATAACAAACATGTCATTATTTACTATGTGTTGTTTTAAACTTAAACTAAGAAGAATCAAGTTCAAGTAGTATTGTAAATTGTACAAGTTTTATCACATAAGAAAAGGGACAAAATTTAAAATAAAAGAATCTGAATAGAAAACAGAGGGAGGGGGAGAGGGGAGAGAAAAAGAGAAATTATAGTTCCTAACTATACCATCCATTAGTTATGTAATATTGATTAGGCAAGTTAAGTGATATCTCTGAGCCCCAGTTTTCTGAGAAACTGAAAAATGGGAAAAATAATACTTAGGATTTTCTTGACTATCAAATAAAGTGGAAATGAAAATGCTTAATCAACAATAAGCATGGTCTTATTACTTGATATTTAATGATCAGTTGTACCTTCGAATCTTTCTTTGAGCTGTGAAGAGTATGATTTGGTGTTACAGCAGGCAAACAAGAATAAACTAAACAAAAGGAGTGATGAAATTATATCTTCTGGTTATTATTATTTAAGTAATAATTTAAAGCAAATATATTTGAATCAAATTTTACATTTCTTCACTGTGTGGAAATTTTTCCCAAACCTTGGCATTATTCTGAACATTTTTCAGGCATGATATTATGTCTAAAACCTAGTCCCGGCACCTTTTCAATAGTTCCAACTTGACGGTAGTAAAGGAAAGTGGCTCTTCTCTTTCCTTTCAAGTTACTCTAATTCAGGAATTGTTTCTGCTCTCCTCTTGCTTGAGTGAGCAGGAAATGATGCCTTTGTTGAGTTTTTCTGTTTGATTTTCCAAAAGCTGTTAGTCTTACAGCTCAGAATGAAATGCACATAGTAATTGGCATAGTCACAGTCTTCAAGGCTAATTGGAACGGACCCAGACACCCTCAGAGCTCTTCCTAGCCTTTCAGATTTGTAAGTGTATGTGGTGAGACAAAGCAAGAAAGCTTATTGAAAGGGGGAAAAGTCCCTGTGCGTGTTGCTGAACCAGGAAGCTTTGATTATATGGCTCTCTGAGTCTGGACAATGTCTTGTGTGTTTGTTTCCACAGAGCATATATCATTACAGACTATATGGGCATCCGAAATGAAAGTTTCATGAAATTAGCTGCTGTAGGGACCTGGATGGGGGACTTTGTCACTGCCTGGATGGTAAGAAATTTTAACTTCACCCATTTCAAACATCAGATGGAAGATATGTTTGTAATGTTGGATAGACACTGCTTTTTAGAGTTTAGAGCAAAATAGTTACTTCTTTCTGAGTGGAACAAATTCATGAATATAGGTACATCTAGAAATTGTCTGCAATAACTGTTTACCTTAGGAAAAAATAATGCAATTATAATATCGATGGCTGTCCCTGGAGGGATACACATACAAACACATGTACATATTCATGAAACTAATAGAAAATTATTCCCTGTGAAGTTCTAAATAATTTTTTAAAAATTTGTTTTTTTAGCCTTGGTTGGTGTGGCTCAGTAGACTGAGCACCGGCCTGTGAACCAAAGGGTCATTGGTACAGTTTCCTGCCAGGGCACACGCTTGGGTTGCGGGCCAGGTCCCTAGTTGGGGGCACATGAGAGGCAACCACACGTTAATCTTTCCCTCCTTTTCTTTCTCCCTTTCTTCCCCTCTCTCTAAAAGTAAATAAGACCTTTAAAAAAATATTTTTTGACATACGCAGTTTTCAGGTAAGGAATGTTGTCTGGCCTGTCGCAAAAACACATATTGAACATTCTTTAAGGACTTTTAAAATAGTTTTCCACGTTTGTTTTTCCCAGTGAACCTAACCTAATGATGACTGAGAGTTCTGAGAGTTGTATATTTTAATTTTTTTATGTATTTTATTGTCTTTTTTGTTATAAGCCTGCAACAGTTAGACAAATTATATCTCATGCTGAACTCACCTGTTAAGAAAGTAGCTTCTGTTTTTAACCATTAGGTGAATTAAATATAATATGTAGTTAAAAGGCTCTAGGAACTCTAAGTTTATAACAGAACCTTGGAGTACAAAGAATGTAACTCATGAAAATGGAACCCTTTAACATTCATTGATTCTTTTTTAAGGGCAGTTAATCCTAATTAGCTTTATTCATCTTTTTGCTTGATAATGAGATCTACGAAAGGAATGATGATACCCAACCAAACAAGGCTTGGGGTGGACATAGCCCTACCTCCAGAGACCACAGGTAGATGGTCATAACCGTTACTGCCCTTTCTGTCGACAGCTTTGCTCCTTACCTGGAAGTACTTTCAGGGCACAAGAAGCAGTGCTGTCTTAACTGCTACTGTTGTGCTCATCCTGCTAAAGTATCAAGTGATCATAAGAGAGTTCCTATAGCCTGTTTTTGACCCTCGTCCCACCTCTATTCAACTGGAGAACCTTAAGCAAATTACCAGATACATCGCATTCCATTAACTTTAAAATCTAAATTTGAAAAGTGATTTATTTTATTTGTACTCACTAGAAATAGCAATAAGAATAAGCCAGCCTTTGAGACGAGGCTGCCTCATGTCAAAAATTTCTATTTTCATTAGAAAAAAATTGCTTAAAAGGAACAATATGAACTTTAAACATATATTTTGTGTGAAATTTGAGGTCATGCCTTTTGAAGCCATTAATTGTGGATTGTGGATTTTGACTCCATCTTACAGTAAATCCTCTTACCGAATTGGAGAGTTGGACCAAGAATTCAGAAATGTGGATTCCCTGACCTTGCTGCCAGTGGTTTGACCTTCCACAAGTCATACACAATTCTCTGAGCCTCCGTGAGCACATTTCTTAAAAGGGATTAGTAGTTCCTACCTGTGTTACAGGTTTTCTGTGAAAATTAAATGTGTGGCCCAGTGACAAGACTTAAAACGCTAGCACAGTGTCTGGCCTAGCACCTTATTGTTGTCACTCATGTTTTTGGGCCCTCATCCCCTTGGCTGGGCCCAGTGATGGCAAGCACAGGTCAACGATCCACACCTAGGGCTTCCCAGGCTTCCTGACCCTCCTCCGGAGCCCCAGGAGCACGAGCGTTCTGCCTTATCTGAGGCCTGGGTGCTGGGCGCCTGGAGTTTCCTTCCAACTGTCAATGCTGGAATAGGCTAAGACAATATGGTCCACTGCTTCCTGACTTCTAACAGTGGCCCTGGTAAAAGTCAGCGGGAAGCAGCACACCACGAAGACCTAGGAGCTTGCTTTGCAATCTGCAGGCAGAAGTCAGCCGTTTGATGCATAAATCATTTTCTTTCCCATGATGACATCATTGTTTGTTGCTGACCCAATTCCATCTTCCTCCTTCCCAGACTTTCCTTGAAGGTAGTGTCTCTGAGGTCATACATGACTCTGTCAGTATTTAATGGTTACAGTTTTTATTTGGGTTTTTTTCTTTTGAATCCTGAGTTGGGGTCCAATTCCTAAGTAGCCTGGAGAGGCAACTGCATGGAGCAGCTTTGTCCAAAGACCTTTGCTCTTCTTGGTTGGGCGTCTACTGTGCACTACCTGCCTTATTCTTGTGGTTTAGAGAAATGTAATATTTTTACTGTTCAGCTTGGGGCTTTTCTTTTTCTCTAAAGTCTGGTTAACCTTGAGAGTTTCTCCTAAATTTACTCCTCTAAGGCCTTCACTTTCTTCTAGCTAACCTGATAACTAACTTTTTACCTCCCCCTATACCATAGATTACTACTCTGATCTATATTTCCAATACCAAAGAAGTAGGACTGGAATGAGAGTCAAGAAAACTGTGTTTTAGGTTTAACTCAGCAATGTGATCTTAAGTCATTTAACCTTCCGAGGGCCTCTTATCTTCTCCTTTCTGTAAAGTGGGGAAGGATCCAAAGCCCCTTCCGGCTTACGCTGTATGAAACATTGACCTTTCCTCAGTAGACGCAGGGAAAGGGGTGGCAAAAGAGGCACAGCACTGTCCTGATTTGCAAGTACAGCCACACGGGGAAGGTCCCCAGAGCACATCGTTGTATTCCCAGTTCTGTTCACTGCCTCGGCGGTAAGTTTCTGTATAAATATTTATATGTCTACATATGTGCTCATTGATAACATTTAAAAAAATAATAGTTTTCCTCATGAGAGGAGTTTAAGGTAGCTTTGACCTTCATTCGTCTGCAGAATTCTCATCACGCAATGAATATCAATGATGAAGGTGACTGTCATGGAAAAACAAGCGGGACTCTTCACATGTCTAATAAACGTGTGCCTTTTAATGTATTTCTGAAGCAGGGCATTTTTCTTTTATGGAAATAATTCATAATTTTCCCGTGGTTTTGAAAGGTACCCCAGGCCTGACGTGACTGATTCGCAGGCAGGGGTCTGTCAACCAATCTGACGAACATCTTGGCCCTCCTAGGACTGAGACCAGACTCTGCGAGGCTCCACTTCCTAGGCAGTCCGGACTTTGTCTGGCCCCGTGGTCCACCTCATGCATAGGACAAAGATATATAAGTCAAGGTTAAAGTTACTAGATTTTTGTCAAGTAAAAGAAATACATAAAGTGACACTTGGTGTAACCCATCATTGAGCTGCTCTTTACTGTGGATAGGAGCAGAGAAGCGCTGCCATGAAGACATGCATGAACCCAAAACACTGGCCGTCTCCTGGGACACCATTGCCACATACACACAAATCTGCCCACGCTCGGTGCCATTGAGCAAGGAGCTTAGGGGGACTGCCAGTGCTGCAGCACGTTGCTCCAGTGTTACCATCCCTTCTTCAGAAGACAAAGGTCACAGCCTCTGCTCAGGTCTAAGGTGGCAGGGAATTCTGAGGACATCGTGATGGCACTTGCTTTTGTTCTTTGTTTATTACCACAGGGGGGAAAAAAATCCCTTCCTGTCTTGTTTATACCTAACCATCCCTTTCCCCAGCCCCTTCTTTTTTCTGCCCTCGTGGCTTTTCTCTGACAGCAGTCAATGGTATATGGCTCATGATAGTGACAGAGACATCGGACTCCAAGTATGAGGTTCACTGTTGGGAGAGGGAGCGCGCAGGGGAGGGTACAAATACGGTGAGACTGACGTGACCTAAAGAAGACAACTCTCATGGTAAACACTTAAGTTGTCATTGAGCATCTTCCATCATAAAACCATGTGTGTATGAAGTCCCTGGTTAGCCTTGACATATTTACATATTTTTCCAGGATTTTCTATGGACATTTGTGTGTGTGTGTGTATATGTGTGTGTGTGTATAATATGCCACTACTAGCAAAGTAGTACCCTCCATGAAGCTAATCATACACACACAAAGCAATTTAGTTGTCTGTCAGTTAACTTCACCTTTATTTCATGTTTTTATAATCATCATTTGTTTTTTAAAGTGTGTGTGATTTTAATAGACTTTTTTTCTTCTTGAAACTCAGAGTTCCATTAGAGCCAGACAACCTTAGTCAATACTTTCATGTAGGAATGTCTCTGTATGGATGAAACATAGCCTTTGTAGCTGGATTTTAACAAGAAATAAAACTTTTAAATTTGCTTAATTATTTCTTTCTGTTGAAACTGTAACACGAATATGATTTTAGAAAAAAATTTTAAGATATATTTTACTCTTCTTTAACTGTCCCTGCTTTATACATAGATGTTATATTATCTCTCTAAATATTTCAGTGACAAATTTGGTCTTATTATTTTTCATATATTTTTACTTTTCCAGAGAGATTTCATAATTCATATTTATATTGCTGTTATATTTGTTTCAAGAGACTGTTTAAGGAGCAACACTGAAAGCTCCTCCTTACTTGACTATAAGCACTTTGAGGGGAAGTACAGTGCCAATTGTGTTCACAGCTGTACTCCCAGTGCACAACGCAGTACCAGGCATACAGTAGGTGCTCAAGAAATGGTTAATGAAAGAATGGGTAGATCTTGAGAGCACAGATGATGAGAGCACAGAAGCATGAGGACCCGTTCCTCCCACCCTCCTTCCACTTTGTGACTTAGTGCTGTAAAACGAACACTGCACAACGCTAAAGAGGTGACGGGACGAGGGCTGTGTTGTTCGGGACACATGGAGAGCAATTCTTCGCGCCTCCTCCCACAAAAGGCTATGCACTTGCTTCTCCTGAGCTGTTCCGTAACCAGGAGGACGCATCCTTGTAAACAGCCTTGAATGGAGGTAATTCTCCCAGAATCATGATGTAACCATTTGCGT